ATGAAGAGAGAAAATGATTTAGAATTTTGAGTGAAGCAATTCATATTTCATGTAATCCTTTTCCTGGCTAGAGCCTTTCCCTCACTGGGCCCACGCCTTATTGTGGGTTATGGCTTGACCATTGGGGCTGCCATCTCTGCCAGGAGCCCGGCAGCAAAGCCACAGTGTGAGGGCGGAGAGCGGCACGTCTCCAGAAGTCCGGCACAGCCATGTGCTGGTGCTGATCACTGAGGTTTTCCTGGCTGGGATCTTGTCTGACATGTGGATGAGTGATGCCGGTGAGCACGGCCTGAAATCTTCCCACGTGTACTTTAGCATTGGGAAGGAAATGTGACTTCACCCCCATTTCTCACATACGCCCGTAGACTCCTATCCTGCAAATATGCAGGTTTATGTAACATTCAGAGACCTACACTGCTGACTTCATCAGTATACTTGGCGGCAGCATTAGGATATCTGCCAGAATTTTCCAGCTCAACTATTGGTGCCCACCACAGTGGCTTTCTTTTAGACTGTTACCTGAGACCCGAGCCTTTTTTATTTCCTTTTGCTATGTGTGTGTTATATGTAAGCCTGCTTCAGTTTGAATAGCTCCCGGCGAACCTCTTTAAGGCTGTGTAATAATTTTTTGCATATTTTCTATCTTGATTCATTATGGCCAGGACTAAACATAAAAGCAACAATTAAAGCACCACTCCACTTCTGCTCCCGTTTTATAAATTGGCAAACCATTTTAAAAAGTAAAAAATGCAGCTCACTCTGCAATGGTCATGATCTCTGGCACTGTCCATTTCTGGTCTCTGGCACTGTCCGTTTCTGGTCTCTCATGGTCTTTGGCACTGTCCGTTTCTGGTCTCTCATGGTCTCTGGCACTGTCCGTTTCTGGTCTCTCATGTTCACTGGCACTGTTCATCTCTCTTTGCAATGCTCATGGTCTCTGGCACAGTCCATTTCTGGTCTCTCAGGGTCTCTGGCACAGTCCATTTCTGGTCTCTCATGGTCTCTGGCACCGTCCATTTCTGGTCTCTCAGGGTCTCTGGCACAGTCCATTTCTGGTCTCTCAGGGTCTCTGGCACAGTCCATTTCTGGTCACTCAGGGTCTCTGGCACTGTCCATTTCCGGTCTCCCATGATCTCTGGCACTGCCGATTCTCTTTGCAATGCTCTTGGTCTCTGGCACTGGTCATCTGACAAATGTCACTTTACCACCATCAGCTGCTGATCTTCAGAGTTGAATGATGGCCATCTTTGACCACCTGTCCCCCATCTGGCGCAACTTGTCTCAACAATGACAAAACAGAATCATGTAACTGTCGGTAGGTGTATCTGAATGTGTTGCAGAATTGCCCTGGACAGAATTTTATCTGGGACACAATACTTATACATGTTTGACACAATATACTCCAACGTGGAAGAGGTCCCTTTTACCTCCACTTATCTTTTCACCGCTATGGCAGTATTTCTTAATGAATTTGTTGCAGGCATAGCAGCAGAATATAAAAAAGGCTCTTGCATGGCTTTTGTTAATTTGGCATAGGACTTTCTAATATGGCCACAACACCAGAAAAGTGTAGCAAATGCTTTATTGAATTGCCCTCAATGTGTTAAGAAATAAAAACCTCTTTATGGCTTCTTTATGTGTGCAGCCACCATGTCCTTGCACTGTGCAGGGCCAGACTGTCAATTTGACAGCTCAGTCCTGCAGATTATCCAGGGGAGGGCTGGTCCTATTCCTCTTTGCCTCCTTTCTGGCAGTATTCAATGATGCAGAGAGTGGTGCTAACATGATGACATCTGCGCCACTACACTTTGCTTGGTGAAGGGTCCCTGTTAGGTATGGAAACGTCGCAATCTCTTTTGATTTCAGCAGGAACATCAATAGAGACAAGCTTGAAGCATAAGGTGTGCGGACAACATATATTTCCACTTCACTGTGTGTATGTGCATCATTAAAGACACTGTAGTAACGCCCCCTCGGGGGACGGGTCCTTGACATCCTGCACTCACAGTATGTCCTCAGCCTAACTACTGGCAAAATGAAATTACTGTGGGAAACATCTCAGGATTGAAGGGGACTGTTGCAGCAAAAGCATTTTTATTTTTCTTAAACTGCTGCTGAAGGACAATTAAAATAAATAGTCTGGAGCCGGTCTTTAAAATGGTTTAAGAAATGGAGAAATATTTTATTCTATATTTGACTAGAGTCCGCGATATTGCACCTCTTTCCTGTTCCCTGGAATATTCCTGTGAATTATACAGGGAGGTGGTTAGCGTTGTCACACAGCCAGGCACAATCACACTCTGGTTTTCTGTACATTGCAGCATTCCACATTTGGCACCGGACGGCTCCTGCGTGTGCCTTTAAGCATCATCGGAGAGCCACGTGACCGCCCTAGCGTCCTTAGAGCAGACGAGGCAATGCGGTCTGTGATGCACATCCTGTTTGTGTGGAGATGCAGCATACACTATGTGTGATCTCTGGCACCGCAAAGCGCTTCTCCCTCTCTATTTACATAGGTGTGGTGACAGGGCTGGGCGCGTCTGGTAAACGCTTTTGTGGGTTTGACTTGTATCCATTCCTCGCAGGCTCTGCCAGTGCTGCCATGCTGCAGCCAGTCTCTGTGTGTCTCTGCGTAACCAGTTATTACAGCTACGCTCACTTTCTCCAGTCCAACTCGGCGATGGAAATATATTCCGCAGTTGGATAGAGCTGTCTACATCAGAGATAAAAAAATGTTATGTTCCCTAAAGTAGAGCTGTTGGTGAAATAAAAAATGACATATGTGATCCTGCCAGTAGATCTGTTGATTTTCCACTTCCTTTAAACGGGTGACAAAGCCACTGCTCGTCCTTCAAAATCCAATACTTCCAAATGTTGGATTCATGGTCACCCCCGCTGTGCTCAGTGGTTCCTTTTGTGCATCTTTTGCCAAAAAGCATAACTCCTGAAGATCAGCTTTAATATAAACTGCTATGTTCCTAAATAAGTGGAAACGGCGAGCCCTGGAGCCACTGGCAACCCCTCACCGGCACACATGCACTGAAATGATTGTGGCACCAAAGCATAGTGTTTAGGGAGCGCTCTGCAGTATCAGGGCAAATAACGCAACGGCGATTGCGCGCGGTAAGCCATTACCTTACAGGACCTATACGGAGCTTCCAGGGAAAATAAACAGAAAAGGTCACCCCTATCATGTGTGAGACAGTCCGCTGGAACTGGCAGGTTTTTAACGTAAATATAGGACGAGCGGCAGTGACTTGGCTGCAGTCTTATAGCAAATCTGCACTGTGTCTCTCTGTATACAGCCGGAGTGATTGAGGTTCTGTATTACAATCGTCCTCCGTGTGTCTCCAGCAGGCTTACACCAGGCCAGCTTTAGCAAAGCAGCTAGCAATTCAGTGAAAACTACTACACTTGTGTTATCTTCCAAAGATCTGTAAAATATTGACCATACTCTGTGATCTTCCACAGCTCTACTGTGTTTTATGACTGGACAGGTTTAGGATGGTGACAGCACCTCTCAGAGCCGACATTCTTCCAGACTGTGCCACTGCCCTGTAAAACAACTTGTCTCAGGTGGAGGTGGGGCGTCCTCCTGACAAGCCTGCACCCAATTTGATATCTTCTGCCCCATGTGCTCCAAGATGGAGACTCTCATAGTTTAGAGTTAGGACCGCACTATAAGAGGTGCCTTGGCGCGGCAGTGCGGCTTACACATCCTTTGCAGAAGACGTGTATCCAAACCTCTGTCATTGTCCTTAGTGGTGAGACAAGTTGTTTTACATGCTAGTTTGTGAGTGTGCCATGATGCCTTTCTACTGTTCTACTGTTCAAAGCCCATTTCGTGTGCACCTTACTGTACAACTGGTAACAAATCGTTGAGTGCGTTTGTCGTTTGTTTTGCTGTGCCACTGCCCTGCCCCCTGCTTGGAATACAGGCAGCCGAGTAATTAACCAAGCCATAGTGAAGTGAGCCGAACAACGTTCAGCTATTTACTACGGCTCAGTACGGGTGATTTCATCCGTACAATGGCTGCCTTTGTCTGCACTTCGGTCAGCCGAACATGCTTTGTGGCTGAGCAGAAGTGCACAAGGACTCCGACTCAGCTGAAGCTCCGGCAGCTCACTCGCTGCTGTTCGCCCCTATTAACATAGGGGCCGAACGGCAGTGAGTGCATAGCAGAATGCTGCTGAGTGGCATTTGGCTCGGCTATTCTGCTCGGTACCTCCTTGATACCGAGCAGAATAGCAAATAGTGAAAAAAGTTGGAAAAAAATGTTTAAAATGTAAATAAATAATAAATGAAAAAATAAATAAAGATTTTTTTTTTAAATAATTCAAAAGAAAAATTGGTCAGAGCTAGCAGTGACAGCTAGCTCCGCCCAACTGTTTCCTATTGGCCGACACCTGCTAGAGTCTTCTAGCAGGTCCTGTCTAATGAATAACAACTGGGTGAAGCCGGCCGTGACGTCAGTTGTTATTGTTTAATGACAGATCAGCGTCCCCATGTCATTTGGGGACGCTGATCTCTCATTACAACTGGGCGGAGCCAGCCATGAAGGACGTCCATTGAAGGACAATGGGCCAGACATTGGCCCAGCACCAGGACCCGCTGCAGTCCTTGTCCAACACCAACAGTGGCTTGTTTCTCTGCGTGATAGCAAAGGAGATGATCGGCCCATGTCCAAGGAGATCTGCTATGATAAGAAACATCTCCAACTGCCGGGTGGAATTACACTGTCCAGTTTATTGTCTGGAATGGAGAAGCAGGACAATGTCATAGACATGATTTGTTTACGGCTGCAGGCAAACAATTCGTCCAATAACAAAGTGCAGACACAAACAAACAGATTCCATTTTTTTTTTTAAGACTGCACTTTTGTCATCTTTAATCCTCCAAAATGCCCCTAACTTGTACACACAGCAGCATTCTATGTAAATGGTGTACAGTGTATGGCCCGTGCAAACTAACATCCATCTGGCTGTGTCTGTGTCCGCAGGGGAGAAAATGTCTTTGGGCCGCCAAGAAGCATTTGAAATCTTCAAGCGAGATTATGCGGACAGAGTCGGCATCGAAGACAACAAAGCTCTCCTGAAGCAAAGGTAACATCTCCTGGTTCTGCTGGGGTTACTTTCCAGTTTCCAGGATCATTTAATAAGCTGAAAGCAACGTATAAGAACCTGTACTAACCAAGCAGGATTCATCCTACTGCATGGAGTTCAGTAAAAGTGTTGGGATTGGTTGTTGTGGGTCCATCCATATCGTGCTTTTGCTTTAACATTTATGTCGGCTGCCATTGCATTCTTTTTCTGTGTATAAAAAAAACAAAACCATATTTATTTATATAAAAGGTGACATGACATCTAACTACAGATTTTCAGAAAAATGTGATTAAAAATAAGTCACATGATGCCTTTTATTATATTATAACGGAGTAGAGAACAGTTGGAGGCTTCTACCATTGGCGGCCACACAGCCACACTCCACTATTGCAGATTTTAATTCATTGAAAGTAATAAAATTCACACAAAAAAATAATAATTATGCTTTAAAACAGAAATAATAGTAATCTTCAAAGTTTTCCCTAAAGGGGTCATGTTCTCAAAACAGAAATTAAGCAGGGTGCTCAAACTTTGGCATATAACTGTTTTACGTACACCTGCTCGCCTATAGCTCCCCCTTTGAACTGTTTGTGTTGCACCTTGCAATGGTGCAGCTTAACACTAATGCGCTGCATTGCTATGAATCAGGGTAGCTGGCGCTCAACCTCATCAACCTTACCGCAACTAACAACTCTAATCTATATAATTCCCCCAAAGCCAACATCCCATAATCTTCTGCTGTACCTAATACCTCCAACTCTCATACCCTCTGTGCCACATCTAACATCTTCAGTCTGCATTAATCCCCCACGCTTACCTTACTCTAACCTCCTCCCGTACCCAGTACCTCCAACTCTCATAGCCACTTCACCAAACCTATATCCCTAATGTGTACACATCCCCCGCACCTAACATCCTATACCTTCCTTCCATCCCCAATTCTCATAGCCACTTCACCAAACCTATATCCCTAATGTGTATACATCCCCCGCACCTAACATCCTATACCTTCCTTCCATCCCCAATTCTCATAGCCACTTCACCAAACCTATATCCCTAATGTGTATACATCCCCCGCATTTAACATCCTATACCTTCCTTCAATCCCCAATTCTCATAGATAATGCAGTAAACCTATATTCCCAATTTTTATAAATACCCCACACCTAACATCCCATACCCTCCGGCCATACCCAGCACCCTCAACTCTCATAGGCACTGCACCAAACCTAAATTTCCAGCTCCAATAATGTGGCCCCTTGGTGTATTCGAGTCGGGTGAACCAGAGAGATGTCACTGCTTTGCTGCCACTAGTCATCAAAATTCTACAGCAGGGGTAGCCAAACTCCGGTCCTCCAGCTGTGGTGGAACTACACATCCCATGAGGCATTGCATGATTCTCACAGACATGACTACCGGGGAGTGATGCATCATGGGATTTGTAGTTTCACCACAGCTGGAGGGCTGGAGTTTGGCTACCCCTGTTCTACAGTATTTCAAGTGAAGTCAACCATTGGGTCAAAGGTCAGCTGCACCTCATTTGCAAGATGTCACCAGTGGCAGGATCACCTGTGAGCCATGGGTCTAAAGCTTTCCCATGCAAACTGTTTTTGGAGCCCCTGAGGAAGTCCAGTGTGGTCTTGGTGACATCACCATGTTTGTCAGAGGTTAGCTGTTATTTTGTCTGTTGTATCAGCCGCACTGCTTTGGTGGGACAGTGGGCAGTTTTATATATACAATATAAATATTACTATCTTACACATTTTGTTTTATAGCTTTTAATTTTAATAAACAGACTGAATGGAGGTGCGTTCTCTGCTTTTGATGATTACAGGCATTCCCCGGGTTATGAACGAGATAGGGACTGTAGGTTTGCTCTTAAGTTGAATTTGTATGTAAGTTGGAACAGGTACATTTTTTAAGTGTAACTCCAGCCAACATTTTTTGTTTTTGTTTTGGATAGCATAAGGAAGGGTTAACCCCCCGTAACGTTTGTTTTGCTGTGTGTGCCCCTGTTCAGAAGATTTTACCTCACTTTCTGTCCCTGTGGAATTTGAAAATTGTGGGTTGTTGTGGAAACAAGGATTGGTGATAAAGCTTCAGTGGAGACACTTTTTCCCCATGATAACTCTTACAGGAGTGAATTTCCCTTCCTAGGGGTAGATTTCCTCTCACTTCCTGTTGTCTCAAGGACACGTCTAACAAGAGCCAACTTCCTGTAATGTACGTACAGTACTACAAACCAGGCCCAAAAAGGCGGGCACTCCTCATCGGCACGAGCACGGTTGCAACTAGGGATGCACAGATATTTTTCGAGTACCAGTGCCGATACTTGGCATTTTCATGAGAACTACCAGGGTTGCAGCTGGGACCGGGCTCTGGCCCTCTACCACTGTCCTGAAATCATTAGTCTGTATTGTTTTAGAAAAACTGTCACATGACAATAAACAAAAATGTATCAGTACTCGTACTCGCAAAACTGGTATCTGTGCATCCCTTTATTTATATTTATAAAAACAAAATCATACATTAAAACAGAGATGTACAAATCCCAGAAGCTCCGTGTGCTCCCTACAAATGACAGCTGCCTCTTAACTTTTACATTTTTCTCTAGTGTAGTCTTGGAGCTCAAAAGTATCGCTACTCGTACTTGTACCGAGTACTGTACTTGGTATCTGTGCAACACTAGTTGCAACTACAACTACTGGAATGCTGCGCGGTATACTTTGGCTGCAGCCCGGGATCCCCTGCTCTCCGTTTGTAAGTAGGGGTCGTATGTAGGTCGGATGTTTGTAGCTCGGGGACTGCCTGTACTATACATGGGCCACTCCAGGGTTTTGGGAAGTCTAAACGGCTGCTTTGCGGGGACTATGTGCATGGCTTATCTTAACTCTCTGCCACCAATGAAGGAAGAAATACACGTTACAAAGGGTATCCTCTTCCTATGCCATTAGCACCTTTATATCTCAGCTTAGCTAAACAGATTTCACCATAGTCGTGAATGGAGAAGTCTTCTGAAATGTTCATTAAACACTGAGAGGCTTGCACGGTTAGCAAATTTAGAATTGTTGGGCACTTTACTCCAGGACGCAGAAAAATCCTTTGTTCTATTGTGGGTTGGTTTCCGGTCTTAAAAGAACCCATTCGATCATCAGTGACCTTGTTGTATGAAATGCCTCATACAACCAAATGTGAACTCTTATTCCTCAGAAATGAGTGTGTGTAGTAGATCACGGAGACCACCGGATGTTGTGTTCATACCTTTTGGTGGGACATTAAAGGAAAGGCTGGGGGTCTGCATTGTCCGACTCATAGAAGCTGCTCTGTAGGAACGCTTAGTCACGGCACGGTTCCCTAAATGAGAGCATACAAGAAGACCATTCCGCTCCATGGGAGGCAGCCATGACATGGCGTGATGGTGTGACCCGACAGCCTCTGACTCACACCCTCACCTGGGGTAAAGCGTGCTTTGTGGCTTCCTTTATGACATATTTGAAACACTATTTACCCAGATAATTGGCTGGGACATTTTAGGAGTTATAAAAGAATATCAATGATGGTTTGGCTTTCCTTCGAAAGGAGAAAAAAAGCATTTTATAGCTGCTGTCACAGCTAATATAAAAACCACAGATAAAGTGGTAGTCATCACTGTTCTTCTCTATGTCCATATAAAGTGCCCTCTGAGTTTTTGGGTCTGCCGCTATATTGGGTGGTAGCTGCCAGGCCTGCCGATTTTTGGATTTTGTAAAAATTTGAGTGGTGCAAACAAAGGGTATTTAAACCCAACAATAAAAATGCTATATATTTCAGCTTACCAGTCCTTAGATTTGGTGACTGCTTTAGTTTTCTTTCTTCTTTTTTTCCCCTTTTATTGTTATGTGGTAAGACTGCTAGTAACACACTTAGTGTCCTAGAGCGATAACACTCACACATTATACTGTATCGTTGACAGAAAGTGGGTTAGGACTACACAACATATCCCCCTCTTCACATCTCCATAACATGGAGGCTTCTGTATTTCAGAGCTGAACTAGGCAGGGCTGGTAACAAACAGAGCTGAACTAGGCAGAGCTAATAGCAGACAGAGCTGAACTAGGCAGGACTGATAACAGACAGAGCTGAACTAGGCATGACTGATAACAGACAGAGCTGAACTAGGCAGGACTGATAACAGACAGAGCTGAGCTAGGCAGGACTGACAACAGAGAGCTGAACTAGGCAGGGCTGATAACAGACAGAGCTGAACTAGGCAGGATTGATATCAGACAGAGCTGAACTAGGCAGGACTGATAACAGACAGAGCTGAACTAGGCAGGATTGATAGCAGACAGAGCTGAACTAGGCAGGATTGATAACAGACAGAGGTGAACTAGGCAGGACTGATAACAGACAGAGCTGAAATAGGCAGGACTGATAACAGACAGAGGTGAACTAGGCAGGACTGATATCAGACACAGCTGAACTAGGCAGGATTGATATCAGACAGAGCTGAACTAGGCATGACTGATAACAGACAGAGGTGAACTAGGCATGACTGATAACAGACGGAGCTGAACTAGGCAGGACTGATAACAGAGAGCTGAACTAGGCATGACTGATAACAGACAGAGGTGAACTAGGCAGGACTGACAACAGAGAGCTGAACTAGGCATGACTGATAACAGACAGAGCTGAAATAGGCAGGACTGATATCAGACAGAGCTGAAATAGGCAGGATTGATATCATACAGAGCTGAACTAGGCATGACTGATAACAGACAGAGGTGAACTAGGCAGGACTGATAACAGAGAGCTGAACTAGGCAGGGCTGATAGCAGACAGAGTAGAACTAGGCAGGACTGATAACAGAGAGCTGAACTAGGCAGGGCTGATAGCAGACAGAGTAGAACTAGGCAGGACTGATAACAGAGAGCTGAACTAGGCAGGGCTGATAGCAGACAGAGTAGAACTAGGCAGGACTGATAACAGAGAGCTGAACTAGGCAGGGCTGATAGCAGACAGAGTAGAACTAGGCAGGACTGATAACAGAGAGCTGAACTAGGCAGGGCTGATAGCAGACAGAGTAGAACTAGGCAGGACTGATAACAGAGAGCTGAACTAGGCAGGGCTGATAGCAGACAGAGTAGAACTAGGCAGGACTGATAACAGAGAGCTGAACTAGGCAGGGCTGATAGCAGACAGAGTAGAACTAGGCAGGACTGATAACAGAGAGCTGAACTAGGCAGGGCTGATAGCAGACAGAGTAGAACTAGGCAGGACTGATAACAGAGAGCTGAACTAGGCAGGGCTGATAGCAGACAGAGTAGAACTAGGCAGGACTGATAACAGAGAGCTGAACTAGGCAGGGCTGATAGCAGACAGAGTAGAACTAGGCAGGACTGATAACAGAGAGCTGAACTAGGCAGGGCTGATAGCAGACAGAGTAGAACTAGGCAGGACTGATAACAGAGAGCTGAACTAGGCAGGGCTGATAGCAGACAGAGTAGAACTAGGCAGGACTGATAACAGAGAGCTGAACTAGGCAGGGCTGATAGCAGACAGAGTAGAACTAGGCAGGACTGATAACAGAGAGCTGAACTAGGCAGGGCTGATAGCAGACAGAGTAGAACTAGGCAGGACTGATAACAGAGAGCTGAACTAGGCAGGGCTGATAGCAGACAGAGTAGAACTAGGCAGGACTGATAACAGAGAGCTGAACTAGGCAGGGCTGATAGCAGACAGAGTAGAACTAGGCAGGACTGATAACAGAGAGCTGAACTAGGCAGGGCTGATAGCAGACAGAGTAGAACTAGGCAGGACTGATAACAGAGAGCTGAACTAGGCAGGGCTGATAGCAGACAGAGTAGAACTAGGCAGGACTGATAACAGAGAGCTGAACTAGGCAGGGCTGATAGCAGACAGAGTAGAACTAGGCAGGACTGATAACAGAGAGCTGAACTAGGCAGGGCTGATAGCAGACAGAGTAGAACTAGGCAGGACTGATAACAGAGAGCTGAACTAGGCAGGGCTGATAGCAGACAGAGTAGAACTAGGCAGGACTGATAACAGAGAGCTGAACTAGGCAGGGCTGATAGCAGACAGAGTAGAACTAGGCAGGACTGATAACAGAGAGCTGAACTAGGCAGGGCTGATAGCAGACAGAGTAGAACTAGGCAGGACTGATAACAGAGAGCTGAACTAGGCAGGGCTGATAGCAGACAGAGTAGAACTAGGCAGGACTGATAACAGAGAGCTGAACTAGGCAGGGCTGATAGCAGACAGAGTAGAACTAGGCAGGACTGATAACAGAGAGCTGAACTAGGCAGGGCTGATAGCAGACAGAGTAGAACTAGGCAGGACTGATAACAGAGAGCTGAACTAGGCAGGACTGATAGCAGACAGAGCTGAACTGGGCAGGACTGATAACAGTACTTGAGATAAGACTGCAAAGTACACAAGGACTACATTTAGATTTTGACTATTGGTCCTGCCTAGAGAAGCTCACAGCAATTTCAGTCCAGGAGAGGAGGCGGTGCAACTGAAGGGAAAGCCGGAGTTAAGCTTTATGCGCCTGCCGAACTTGGGTACATTGGGGTTCCCTCTGTCCCTGCCGGACTTTTCATATATTTTATTATGAGGTAGGGACACCCCAAAGTGATCAGGAACAATCCATCACTCTGGGATCAGCAAGAACAGAGACAGGAACTGTACCAGATTTATCTCACCATCGGGGTCCTATAGAGATATAAGAGACCAACGGGAGACTTAGCACACCGGACTCTGCGTTGGACTAAAATATAAATGCTGCGCGGCCTGACCCTTTAAACTGACGAGCTCAGCATTACAACAGCTTTTATATAACATTTCTTTGTGAATGTTTAATAAATTATTGTTTATTAACTTAGCAGATGTCAGAAGGCTACAAACCACCATGATGTAACCCTATAAAAATAAGCGTTGCTTTCCTGCAGGGTAATTACGGGATCACATTTAATACAATCCATTTCATGTGGACGAGGAATGTGGCAAGGAATGACCCTGGATTGCTGGAAAGAGGAAGGCCAATTAGTGTTACTCATCCATTGCTTCCAACACAGAAGCTTCTCATTGTTCTGTAGTTCTTTCCTGTTCTACCTAAAGTGTATCTAAACCCCAAAACAAAAATGTAATATATTGCAGCTTACCAATCCTTAAATGTGGTGGCTGCATTAGTTTTCAGGCTTTTTTTTTTTTCTTTTCACCGGGTGATCCTGCCAATAACACACTTCCTGTCTCAGGGTGGCTTCACCCTATAGAGGAGCACTGGAGCCACCCTTGGGCAGCAGCATTGTCAACCTGTGGCTAGAGTAGTGTTGGTTGGACCAGCAGATGTAGATGGATTTGAGGATCTACAGCCGAGCGATACATAAATGAGAGACATTGTTGTTCATAGTTATGGTACGTGAATTTATTTTTAAGGGTTATTTCTTGAGTTTAGGGTCACTTTAAAAACAGAAAACTAATGCAACCACCGCATTTAAGGATTAGTAAGCTTCAAGTATTTAATTTTAGCTGTTGGGTATATATGCTTTAAGTTATGGGGTCTTGGGTAGAGAAGATATATTGGGAGCTGCTCCAAACCTCTTGAGTGTATGAAATAGTACACACGATATACAATGTAACTGACTGCTGTAGGAATCTACAATAAAGGCTCGATGTTAATCATGGTAGCAGTAAGAATCTTGAAAGTGAGCTGGAACCCCTGTTTTCGCTGCGGGGGCAATACACTTAGAGTTTCCACAGGGTGCCATATAATCCAAGGCTGCTTCGGGCCTGCATGCCCTCCAGTCATACTCTTTGAAGGCTTACTGTGCCAGACATAGGATATGGAGAAACCACAAGTGGTGCTGTAGAAGATCCTAAAGGACATGCCACCCTCCTGTACTGTCTCTGGTTTCTGCCTCTTAGCAGTCTCACTAGGTGGTTTGACTAATTGCAGTGAGTGGTTAAACAGAGAGCCCACAGTGTTTATTCTGATGTGTTGCTCTAAAAACTAAGGATGATTCATGTGTCCGCTATTCCCAGCCACTTCAACTCTTTCTACCTTGCAATTTTAAATTAACCCCTTTTTTTTTAACTTGGGTTCTGTTTTAAAGTGATATATGTGTTTTACACATAAACAATTAATTCATGACAAAGGATTCCTAGAGCACTATTAGCTAAAGAGATAGCAGAGTCGGGGTACTCGCTTGTTCTGATTAAAACTTTGGAGTGAGCCATCCCCTGGCATATGTCATTGGGATGAGTAATGGAGCTGTGTTCAAACAACAAGGTGCTTTCAGCAAAGAACTAAGCCAGGGATTCTCAAATTTTTAAACAAAGGGCCAGCCTACTGTTTATCAGCCTGTTGAAGGGGTGGACTGTGACCAGTAGAAGTGAAAAAATTCCCTTGCATTGGAGATCAGTGAGAGTAAATGCCCCTGGGTCAGTGAGAGTAAAAAATGCCCCGGTGTCCGTGAGAGGAATGGTGCTCGTTATTTGTTTCAGTGGGTGGAATGGTGCCCCAATGTTGGTTTCAGTGGGAGGGATAATACCCCATTGTTGGTTTCAGTGGAGGAATAGTGCCCCATCATTGGTTTCAGTGGGAGGGATAATACCCCATTGTTGGTTTCAGTGGAGGAATAGTGCCCCATCATTGGTTTCAGTGAGAGGGATAATACCCCATTGTTGGTTTCAGTGGAGGAATAGTGCCCCATCATTAGTGTCAGTGGAGGAATAGTGCCCCATCATTGGTTTAAGTGGGAGGGATAGTACCCCATTGTTGGTGTCAGTGGAGAAATAGTGCCCCATCATTGGTGTCGGCGGGAGGGATAGTGCCCCATTGTTGGTGTCAGTTGGGGATTAGTGCCCCATTGTTGATGTCAGTATGATGAATAGTGTTGGTGACAGTGGAAGATATATTGACACATTCAGTTGGGGAAATGGTGCCCCTGTGTTGGCGTCAATTGGATTAGGAAAGTCCCCCTAGATTCTGTGGATTGGCCACCACAGAATCCAGACCTTAACTCCATTGAGAATCTTTGGGATGTGCTGGGGAAGACTTTACACAGAGGTCCGACTCTCCCATCATCACTACAAGATCTTGGTGAAAAATCATTACAACTGTGGAAAGAAATCCTTGTAGTGACATTACCTAAGCTTATCAAAACCATGTTAGTCTGCGACTGGCGCAGGATTAGCTTACTTCCTACCTGCCAGATACTCGGTCCAGCTTTAGCTCCTAACAGATCCAACAATTCCACGGTGTTTGTACCTGATATGCAGTTGATTAACAGGAGAGCGGGCAGCACATATACCCTGACGCATCTTACATGTATGATGTATAATAGATATGGATATGCACCTTTATGTAACCTGCTGATAGTATATTTGTTTTATTTTCTTTTGGAGTTTTATATGGAAAAAATCAAATAAAATTTGGTTTAAAAAACAAAAACAAAAAACCACGCCACAGAGGATATGTGCCATAATCAAAGCTTAAGGCCGTCCAAAGAAATATTAGAGCGTGTGACTTTTTTTGGCCAGGCAGTGTATTTAAAGAGGACGTTTTTGCACAGTGTGCCTGCAGCATAGCAGAACCTTCAAAAAGGTCTCTTACCTCAATGCAAACCAGTGCTGTATCTTTGTATTTAACATGTTTCTCCAGTTTTCTTTCTGCAGCATGTGTGCTCTGTCATTAATTATATTAAATGTCATTGTTTTTTTTTTTTAAATTAGGTTTGCAGAAGCCAAATCATTGGGTGAAGAAGTGAATAATGTGAGGAACAGAATCAGTGAGTACCTGTCTTCTTAGCGGGAATTTGGGGTTTGTAGATTATGAATGGCACCTTACGTTGCACTGCTCTGTACAAGACTAGAAGGATGTCTGTGTACATTATATGAGTACAACACAGAAACAGCATGTTTGGGTGAGCACTTGCTGTCATTCAGCTCAGTTTCCTTTATGTGTCGCGATCTGTGGCTTGCCTGTTTATGGCTACTTGTTCAATACCTCAACCTCCAATCTCATGAAGGGGCATGGGCCCCGGAAACATGCTAGTGGAGGTTCTCCTTTTTTTTCCAGGGTTCTAGTCTTTTCCTCTTTTACTACCTTTGGGGACATGTTTGTACGTTTACACCCTATGGTCCTTGTGTGGTTCACGTCAAGGATTGATATCCCTGCTCACATCTTTCCTATTGCTTGCTACTTGGTGAGAGGGTTTGTCAGCATCCTGTTGGTGTGACCTGATGTTCCATTGGGACATTACCTGGTGATATTCCTTGATCAAGTTATTTTATTGTAAGTTTGATTTGATAATTGTTTTCCTCCTTAAAATCCAGGGCAATCTCTTCTGTGTTTGTATTTTGACCATGTCTATAAATACTGTATAGTCGTTGCTATTAATTTTATCAAAACTGACCATTATTGTGTCATCCTATTCACAATATGCGATCTCATTCGAAACCTTTCTGCTTTACCTAACCATGGGACCTGTGCTTAAAGTGTTTTGAGTCTATTTGCGCATGATTTATCTCAGCAACTCACTGTTGAAGTTTACAGATTGCAAGAAACTGTTATAAACTTCTGCCAGGTTTCACACTAGAGACTGCTGCTGTGTGAATGCAGATTGCAAGAGACTACTGCTTTAATCCTATTTACGGCTGAGTTGTCAGAAAAGCTAGATACAAACAGCTGCCAAGTTACAGGGGACTGTTATGGACATCCGCCATGTTACAGTACACTGTTAAGATACTTTTACCATGTTAGAACTTACTTAAGGGAGAACTATGAGGCAAGTGATTTACACTCATCCTCATAGTTAGAGCCGGCATGTGTCATTGAAACTGTCACAGGTCGGCTCTATTGATCGGGAAGTGAGCGAACATATACCGTCACTCGCTCACTTCCCGATCATCTCCCTGCTGAGAGCCGTGACTGGCAGTCACCACTCCCCACAGGGATCCCCCCTCCCCTTTCCGATCCTCCAGCGCTGACTGGAGGAACGGACAGGGGAGGGGGCGGGCACAGCTGGCTCTGCCTCTAGATAGGCAGAGCCCGCGGTTAATCAGCCAGCTGGGTGGATCTTGACAGTATTGTCGGGATCCGTCCCCGGCTGTGGCGCTCTCAGTATATAGCTCGCTATAGCTCACTATATACTGAGCCCTGGGTCACGGGCGGTTGTTAGTTTATGTCCTCCCATGACTCTAGAGAACTAATTAAGGGATTAAAAGGTTACCCCATAGTTCTCTTTTAATGTTTTTTGACATCCTGTGTCAGACATCTCCTTCTCCTGGCCGCACCGGTGCAGAGATCCTTATGGATTCTATAGGGCTTGTCTCCTATGCGGGAGATGGAGGTAGACGTGCCCCATGGAAGTCAATGGGGATTTACTGCAAAGGTGCAGGCAGGAGAAGAAGACGTCCATTGCAGGATGCAAACAAACAACCGACGCCAGGCCTGATGGAACTCGGTAAGTATTCACGGGGAGGGAGGGGACAGTGACGTCAGCTTAAAGGGGCCTGTTGGATAAGTGCACTTATATTTTAAGGAGTATAATCAATCCAGACACAATCTGAAATAGTCAGTTTTAGGTGGGCATAGCTCTAAGTTTCGTACATCTTTCACAGCTTGCTGGGTTGTGGCAGGTGATTCTTAGTATCCCGTTTTCATTAAACACAGCTATTATTAGTTGAATTTGGGAGTTTTCTTCTTTTCTTGAGATGAAACGAAGCGCCCTCTGTTGTGCAGCCAGCTGGCCTGGAATCCTATTACTCAACAAACGTTGATGCCAGGACCAGTTCATTGACATGGTTTTGTTTAATTAGATTCCAATTAATTAGACCTATTCTATATAAACAGACAGAAATGTGACATTTCTAAGTAAGTCTCTATCTTTCTTTTGGATTCTCATTTGAGAATCTAATTTGTAAATTGCAATTATTGTTTGTGGACTTGAACATGTAAAGATGATGTCTTCTACCCTACAAACAGCAATAGATCTCGCTCCACGGTTATTCTAGTTCCCAGTGGCCCTATAAGATTCATTACCACTGCAGATGTGGTAGCTTAACCCTTCGCTAAATCTTGGAATTACAGTGAGATTCATGAGTCATGTGCCTGAGTCTAGGTGGACTTCTCAAGGTGCAGAACATAGGGAAATGTGCATCAGTGCAACTCTTGTAACATTAGTGGTTTGTTGTCATATGATGCCGTATCACTGTCATATACAACTAAGCTGTTTCTCTTCCTCATTCAAGTTAATATAAGTGTGAAAAAACTTGAAGCAGCTTGATGCGACTCAGATGTAGCTCACTGCAACACCTTGAGCAACTAAAAGGCAAATCAAAGCAACTTAAATGGGAAATGGTACCTCGGCTTATATTCGGGACGGCTTATACTCGAGTATATACGGTAACAGTTTTTCCTTGAAGTTGATGAGTTGGAAGCAGAAAAAATGGGCAAGTGTTAAGATTTGAGTGACTTTGATTTGGACGAAACTGTGATGTCTAGACGACTGGATCAGAGCAACTTCAAAACTGCAGCTCTTGTGGGATTTTCACGGTCTGCAGTGGTCACGACCTACCAAACGTGGTCCAAGAAAGGAAAACCAGTCAACCGGCTACAGGGTCATGGGCGACCAAGGCTCACTGATGCATATGGGAGTGAAGGAGGCCCCCCCTTGCCACTTACAGGACTTAAATGATCTGCTGCTGACAGCTGGGTGCCAGATACCACAGCACACCTTCAGAGTTCTAGTTGAGTCTATGCCTCAACGGGTCCGGGCTGTTTTGGTGGCAAAAGGGGATCTACTCAATGTTAGGTGGTTGGTCATAATTTTATGGCAAACCGGTGTTTATAGAAAGAAGGAAAATATGTACAAAAGCGCAATATATTACCGTTAAACATTTGGAGATATTTATTACAGAAAAGAAAAATTCACAGGATTTCACGAGTCAGTTTCCAGGTCATGGATATGTCAGCAGTGATTCTAATAGCCTATACACAGCAGTATGCGCAATCCCAGTGCCTGCTCTCCATATCAGCACATAATCTAATATACACAATACTGACAATTTCACAGCTTTGTTCACCGCGATGATTCACAATATCCAGCCTCAGCCTGGCCACCATTCCTGTGAATTTTTCTCAGACGTCTGTATACAGTACCAGACAACGCGGAATCCCTTCCTGTCCTCACCGCTGAATGCTTATTACCAGTATTAAAGTAATATTGCTGGGAATATCTGCAGGACCATTGGATGGAATCCAGCACTGGCCTTTCTTTTCCATGTTTGAGTTGTCTTGATTTATTTAGTGAAAATTCATTCCAGAAGGTTTTAGCGGGATGCAGTGCCGGGATAAACATTCCATGAGACTGGGTGCGATGGAAGGCACTGCAGGAGAAGAGATGAGGGCATTAAATATTGTTAAATATTAATACAGAAAGATCATATTTCCCTAAATATCCGTCCTGGCTGTAGAAACTTGGCCTCTCTTTATCTTTCTACAGATTATCAGCCCTGTTCATGATCGCTTAGTGGATTTACATTTCAGTAGAGTCTGCCATGAGCCAGAGTGAGCACCTGTGTCTACAGGCTTTTTATCATGCCAGAGCTGCTTCTCTTTCCATACAAGTCTATGGGATGGGAAAGCAGATTGAAGCAGACTGATGCAGTTTAAGAAGTCAAATGAATGTCAGAAGGAGGCCAACTGCAGGTCAAATGCCCTTGTCATTGAGCTGTAAATTATCTCAAAGCATCTCAAACTGATGTTAAATGCAAGTTGATGAATTTGAAAGACAATATTAAGAACCAGAGGTCTTGCTGCACTCCTTACCGGAACATCCAAGAGACCCGTGCAGACGGGTGGGTGCTTGTAGTGACCACGGACGGCACCGTGAATAGTACAAATGAAGAAATAATGTCACCAGCACACCACAGTGGTAATTAAGCAATAGTCCGTTTAATGACACATTGCCATTCAATGCAAGTGCTTTCGGGGCCTCAGGGGGTCCCCTTCATCAGGCTCAGAATGACACAACACTGAAAAACCATCAACTTTAAATCGACATCAAACTGTGTGTAACAAGCAGACCCCTCCCATAGAGGCAGTGTCATCACTGAGCCCATTCCCGCCATAAGAGATTCAAAAGCCACAAACCTGAGTCAAATCAGAAGCACCAACGGCGCGCAAACGAGATGTTAAAGTTGATGGTTTTTCAGTGTTGTGTCATTCTGAGCCTGATGAAGGGAACCCCCTGAGGCCCCGAAAGCACTTGCATTGAATGTCAATGTGTCATTAAACGGACTATTGCTTAATTACCACTGTGGTGTGCTGGTGACATTATTTCTTCAGATGAATTTGAAAGCACACAAAGCCATACACTGTGCAAATTTCGGCCTGCTGCTCAAGAAATTTCCACAGTGGGTGCAGCTGTCGGCAGTCTTTCAGCCGGTATCCCTCGATCAGCTGATCAAAGGAGTCGCTCTGAAAATCTTTGTTTGAATAGATACGGCAGCCAGTGAGCTGGGGAGAGGGAACTTCTTTGGGTGCCCACGCTGCTGCCTAGGTCATATGGGCACCTGTTACTGGCTGGCCAGTAGCAGGGTCCTCTCAGGCTGAACAGCATGCCAAGAAACACAAACCAACGAGTTAGGTGAGCAAATGTCCTGAAGACGGTTGAGACAGGGAAGGAGAATGTTGCCTGGAGATAGGATTTAAAATTAATTGGTGCCCATTTTGAATACCTGGAGGTGTGCTGTACTCTCCCATATGCCATACAGACAACCTATAGGTTCACTTTTATGCAGCTCAACTTGGTAAACCATCAATAAATGCGAAGATCAAGCAGATGACTACAAGGTGTATCTGTTTAAAAGGATTGCTGATTTTATAGAACATACAAAACGGGAGAGGAAGGTTAAATGGAGGGTCCCCTGCTTCTATATACTAGCAAAAGATACAATTTTTCCCGATAGGGGATTCCACCATTCTTTCAAAGTATACAGCAAATATTGATAAAAGTATATTTATTTTAAATATATTAAAAAGCACACATATCAAAAAATATATATCAAAACACGAACAAACATATATATGACTGCATTCAGCTAATGGTTGAAAAATGCATGTGGACACAATAATAAATAAAGGTATTGGTTCAGTAAGGCACTCTTCCACGTTGGAGAAGAAAAAGCCGAGATAAGGTTAAACATCTCCTGAACCACTTGTATTCACAACCGGATCTACTTACATCAGTGACAATATTACTCTGATCTTAAGATTCTGACCCATGGGCGAGGAAACACACCACTGTGAGTTTAACCCACATATCTTTACTAACTACATGAAGTATTTTTGATGTTGACTATTGTTTTTATTTCTTTTTTCCTTCATACACGTGTATGTTAACTCTTTAACTGCTATTTTTGCCTAAAAAACGGATATCGTTTTCCTACTTTGTGGAGGTTCTAGATACAAGGAAATTCTCTCGATACCAAATATAACAACTATATACGGAAATATTGATGCTTTCCAGGGTGTGCCCTTCATTTATTATTGTGTCCACATGCATTTGTCAACCATTAGCCGAATGCAGTCATATATATGTTTGTTTGTGTTTTGATATATATTTTTTGATATGTGTGCTTCTTAATATATTTAAAATAAATATACTTTTATAAATATTTGCTATATACTTGGAAAGAATGGTGGGATCCCCTGTCGGGGAAAATTGTATCTTTTAAATGCTGATTTTAGAGATCTTTGAAGATCTTTGACAGATTTTGTTTGACTGATTTTTCATCCACATCCTCTGCATGGACTGATTATAAAACAGATTCTAGTTATGGAAAAGGAAGTGTATCTCCTAAACCTTCACAGATGAGAAAGAGGGACACTCACACTTCCTGCCTAATCCCCGGTTATAGCAGACTGTGGAGAATTAATACACATAAAGTATAATTCAACTCACAAGTGCTTTTTTCATCTCTACTTATCCTTTATACTGGCTTTTCAGAATAACAAGATCAATACTATAAAGGTTGGATGAAAGGTTTTGTGAAGTATGACACATTCGGTAGTTAAAACAAGGTCTATATATCAGACCAAAAAGATGGATAGCTACTGAGGAAAGAGTGACAGAGGGTTTGGTTCCAAAATAAGGGACAGTTGGAAGCTACGCAAGGTGTAGTTGGGAGTAAGTGCTGAATTTAGGTAGCTGGGAAGTAAATAGAGGATCATAGGAGACCACAACATTGCTGTGGTGCTTGCCATGGTCTTACAATGTCTTTGTGAATTATGCAGGCTGGGAGGGAATTATTTGTTGTACTTTTGAAGAGGACCTGAAACTCTTCCCAAAAAAGGCAAGTAGAAACAAATGAATAGGCACCAGTATTGCCTCTAGACTCCCTACACCTTTTCCACATTAATGATTTACCAGGCCTTGTTCTGCTTTGTATGGAGGCTGATATCTTGGATACAAGTGAAGGCTTTGCTTCCTCATGTCAGAAATGCCCTCCTGAAGAATGGTGATCTGATGAGTGGTGGGATAGCAATTAATAAGCAGCATGAGAGGTGGAAGAAGCACAGATGAACAGAATAGATGAATCAGAAGCAGGGAGATCCTTGCACTGCCAGTTCTTAGGTACAGCAGCTTCCTCTCCAGCAAGGAGAACAGGGATCAGCACAGTAGTGACATCACCAAATCTCTCTCCATATTTAGCAGCCAAAGACAACATTGACTTAGATGATCTAAAACTTCAGATATACAGATATGAGGCCACAGAACAGGAAATTAACTTTAGTTAATGTTTCATGTATCCTTACCATCTAATGGCAATTTTCAGTCTTCTCTGTAAGCCTGAACTTTATCATGCTTGGTTAATAAAATGAGGCGAACCTGGCCTGTTTGTCCTGTCTCATTAAAATGCCAAATCAGGATGGGGGAAACCACAAAGAGCCTAATGGGATCAACACTGTCAGCCCCTGTCTGTGGGCTTAATGAGAAACAGCAGTGTCTTCCTTCTGTGCAAATGAGGTTCCCCACCAAAACCACCAACAAACCATCCCAAGAGATGGCTATCGTATACAATCTCATGTTTAGTTTTCTAATGCGTATTGAGATTCTAATTCACCATGGGAGTGAGCTTGGAGCGGTGACTATTTTACAACTCACACCGGGACCATTGGGAACAAAAGTAGCCACCCTCCAGAAGGAAGGACAATGTCGGAGATTTCAGAGAGATTCAGGGCCTGTTCACACGACGTCCGTTTTGTGTGCTGACCGACTCCGTACGCTGCTGCACTCAAAATGCATCCCAATGTATCCCTATGTGTTTTATGGGCTCCAGTTCTCACGTGCACAGTCCGTTCAGCTTACGACAGAAAAAATACTGCATGTCACATTTTGTCAGGCCCGGAAACGGAGCAGATACGCAAACGCGTCAAAAACGCACTGCGCTGCAGCTAACATACTAACAGCCCCACTCCAGCAAAAAAAAATTTTTTTTTTTTTTTTGCTGGAACGCATCCAAAACGCGGCCAAAACGCAGCCAAAAACGCAATGCATCAACAGCTCCACGTCTGCTGATCAGGACCTGATCAGGACCTGATCTCATGTGAACAGTCCCTCAGAGATGATTTGAGGATCTACATCTGAGTGATACAGAAATAACATACATTGTTGTAAATAGTTAAGGTGCTTGAATGCATTTTTAAGTTTTTCCTCCTGAGTTTAGTGTCACCTTAAGTACTTATTCTAAGGTGAACCCAGCAGATCCAAAGAACCTAGCTCTCTACCGCATGATGTTTAAAAATCCTGCTCAGGTGCTGGTTTCTCTGGGAACCCTGTATACATTTGCGAGAAATGGGTTCCCAATCGCATGGACCATGTTTTGGTTTTCCCCACAGCTCCACTGATTACTAATGTTGGTCCAAGCTGTGGGGGTTGAGTGTCTGTGAGTTAGCTGATAGAGAGACACGTTTGGCTGGAAGCCACTGTATTGAGTCTGACTTGAGTGCGTTAGTAACTTGGTTTTGGACCATTGTTGTCCCAGGAAGGGGACTTTACCTGAAACAAGAGACTCAACACAAGGAGCAGATGCAGCTCAGCTCTCCTTCAATTACTTTGCGGCTAGATGGATCTTACCTGTCTGCTACTTATGCTGGAATAAACAATTGTCTTTGGCTTAATAAAGTGAACTTTGTGCTTCTCCAATGAGTCTAATCCTTTTATAGAGGCATTGTTGAGTTATCATAGGCATGCTGATGCTGCTTAATTTGATCTGGGCACCTAGTCATCAATGACCTCTGCTCATGAAAGAGTTAAAGTAAAGTGAAGTAGGTGAAGGTAAAGAAAAGTAAGGGATGTAGGTGAAGGTAAAGTAAGGTAAGTGAAGTAGGTGAAGGCAAAGTAAAGTAAGGGGTGTAGGTGAAGGTAAGGGATGTAGGTGAAGGTAAAGTAAAGTAAGGGATGTAGGTGAAGGTAAAGAAAAGTAAGGGATGTAGGTGAAGGTAAAGAAAAGTAAGGGATGTAGGTGAAGGTAAAGAAAAGTAAGGGATGTAGGTGAAGGTAAAGAAAAGTAAGGGATGTAGGTGAAGGTAAAGAAAAGTAAGGGATGTAGGTGAAGGTAAATTAAAGTAAATGAAGTAGGTGAAGTTACAATAAAATAAGGAATGTAGGTGAAGTTGGTGACATGTCACAGTAGATGAGTGTGAAATGTTCTCCATAGATCAGCCTAGCGCTCCCAGGGTTTGTGTAAGGTCAGCCTGTGTAATTTCCATCATTTGCAGACAATGAGTAAGCAGCGTTGGGCTCCCTCTGTTGTGTTGCGATGAGCTGACATGACACATTGGGAACATGCTGAGTCTATATAAACATACTGTGCGTCTCCCCCTAATGATGGAGCTGGGGTGACCTGACCTGCCTGATGACTCCTCCTCCCCGTCTCTGTATCACTGTCTGGCCTGTACAATCCTGGTAGAAATAGCAAAGATCCAACATTGAATTCCTCACACTCCATCTATAATGGCATCTACTAACACATTCCCTAAGTACGCCACAACCTAATCATTCGCTGAGACATAGAAGATGGAGGAGCCAGGTTTGGTTCCAGCTGCATCAGTAAGGAACCACATTCTGGAAAAGGGAGACCGAAGTTGATTTTCAATTCACTTTTTAAATTATTGTAGAGCTTAAAGAACCCTCCACTACCTTTTAATCCGAATTACACTAACTAATCAGTAATTTTACTAAAAAAGCCCCTTTTGCTAGCAGTAGATACATGCCAAAAAAAATTAAGGTTTAATTGAACTTCATGGTCATGTGACACACCGTTCCCAAGTGTCCATTCTTCTGGACTGCAGAGTAGGAGAGTCCTTCTTCAGGTGCCCATGTTGCTTCCTGGCTGACTTGAACACTTTCCATTGACTGCTCAGTGGTGGAGTCCTCACAGGTTCCAGAAGACTCCAGCAGCATGATGACAACCAGGGCCGTTAACAAGACC